ATTATACAGAAAAATCATGTATACATAATCATGTATAGTTAATACATCAATAACCATAAACAAGCTTCTATTATACAGAAAAATCATGTATACATAATCATGTATAGTTAATACATCAATAACCATAAACAAGCTTTTATTATACAGAAAAATCATGTATACATAATCATGTATAGTTAATACATCAATAACCATAAACAAGCTTCTATTATACAGAAAAAACGTACACTTCTACATATTTAGAGTTTCTTTGAAAACTTTTAATGCTATTTATTATCGAACGCAAGTTTCAATACCTCGCCATAATACATTGGCAAATCGTTATGTATTTATACGACAGCAATCTTGAGTTGTAATATTTTTGGTGATAAAAACTTATGAAGAAAAAAAACTCGTTTTTTTACATGTTACATAAGCTATTTGTTTCGAATTTCATGGAAAACTACTCGAAAGCTGTCCGTAATTAAGCAGTAATAAACTAGAGAGAAGGCAGCTAGTCAACACCACCCACCGTCAACTGTTGGGATACTCTTTTGACAACGAATAGTGGAATTGACCGTATTATTAAAACGCCCCAACGGCTGAGAGGGCGAGCATATTTGGTGTGACGGAGATTCGAACCCGCGACCTGCAGATTGCGAGTCGAGCGCCCTAACCACCAGGCCCTTACATAAGCTATCTCGACTTATGTACTTTTGTATTGCACGCCTATTACCTAAATCTTGGGTCTGCAGCTTTAGTGGTAAGACTAAGGTTGATTCAAGATTTCAGAAAACAGGGAATTCCTACCCTTTACATGCATTTTGAAAGTAAACAGGAGTGAACAGTAATCATGCTTCTAGGGTATTTCGACATTAATTCGAGTATAGAGTAATTAGTATACGAACACTTGCACCTATTGTTCTTTCTAGAGACGACAGTAATTAAGGATCCTTGGCGGACATGTTTTTTATATTCTGAAATCCACTTTTCACTGCCGTAGCGCGTTGATCACATTTTGCTTTACCTGATGTTTTCACGGTGGTGTTCTCGTGCACAAATGAAGCACGATGTACTTATACAAAAGCACGTTTTATAGTCAGTAACATATATGAGTCAGTAAATTGAGAGTCAGGGATTAAGCCTCTTATGGTTTCATTTATACGTGTTTAGTTCTGATTAATATTCTATCGTTACATCAAAGGATAATTAAGGTAAATATGAATTAGACTGGAATTACTTGTAAAGTTTGCGTTTTAAGTAATGTGATTGTTAAATATTAAAATAAAAGACATTTTCTTTCTGAAAACTATTATTTGACACGTACTGTGGACAGAGTTTCCAACGATGTTTTTATATTTGTTTTTGCCCCCCAGTGGGACAGATGTATGTCTGCGGACTTACAACGCTAGAAACCGGGTTTCGATACCCGTGGTGGGCACAGCACAAACAGTCCATTGTGTAGCTTTTTGCTTAACTTCAAATAAACAAACTTTAGCCCCCCCCCGTGGCACAGCGGTATGTCTGCGGACTTATACCGCTAGAAATCGGGTTTCGATACCTGTGTTGGGCAGAGCACAGATAGCCCTTTGTGTAGCTTTGTGCTTAATAACAAACAACATCATATTTGTTTTATATTAAATCCGTTTATTGCTTGAAATGTACTGTAAACATTATTAAAATTTATTCTGCGAAACGACGGAAACAGATTCGTAAAAAACGTACCCTTCCCCACACCCTCCCCGTTTCTATTTACAAGTTGAAGCAACTTCTCAGGTAATCCGTCCTAAAGATGCTGCTTCTATTAAAAGGTGAGCATCTTTTCGAGTCGTTTAAAACTTCCGCATCCCACCAAACATGCTCGCCCTTTCAGCCGTGGGGGCGTTATAATGTGACGGTCAATCCCACTATTCGTTGGTAAAAGAGTAGCCCAAGAGTTAGCGGTGGGTTGTGATGACTAGCTGCCTTCCCTCTAGTCTTACACTGCTAAAGTAGGGACGGCTAGCGCAGATAGCCCTCGTGTAGCTTTGCGCGAAATTCAAAACAAACAAATTTACCAAATATTTGTTTTTAAAGAACAACAAAGTGAAATTTTTCTGTGGCTTTATTATACATTGTAAATGTCTGAGAAAACGTTTAATATGCCTCTTTGTTCGGTAACTTTTATTATCGTGGTGAGAGAAGTTTAAAGAAAATGAGAAGTAAAAGTTCGAAGAAATTAACGATCTTTAAACGTCTGCCATTGGTTACTCACCTGTCTGGCTTATTTCTAGTCTTGAGTTGATGATCTTATTGAAAGGTTGAACTTGTGGTTTAGCAGGTAGAATATGTAGTGGAGTTAATGTTTGTTAACACGATGACCAAATCTGTAAAAATATCGCCATTTTCGTTATGACATTATAAATCCTGAAAATGACCTTTAGCTACACAATGTTGTACTGTATTGTGATACTGAATATGACCATTTAAACCTATGTGTCATACCTTATCATACATTTTTAACCCCAAAAAATGACTGGTTGGTGACTTTTACATCGTACCTTATTAGGATTTGTGAACCTGAAAATGACATGCTCTTTCATATCGTGACTTTTTGACGTAGAAAATAGCCATTGACCACTTTACATTGACTAATGACCATTCTGTGCTGCTTTGTAGTATGACTTTGTGAAACTGAAGTTTGTATTGTCTTGTTACGACTTTTCCATGAAAATTATCAGTTGGCTCTTTCTTTTAAATCTGATCTAGAAAATTACCAATGACCACCTTTTACATTGTTCTTGTCATGACATTGTGAATTGACTTTGAAGATCATCACTGACCACTTCTCATTGTCCTTTATGACCTGTCCTTGAAAGTATCTTATGATCGATTTGCGTCGTGCTTAAATTGATTTTGTAATGTTGAAAATGGCTACTGACAGTGCTTTATTCCTTGAAATACAACAAGGTGAAACTTAGCAGAAGGGTAAATATACAAACATTATATTTGGTAATCTCGGTTGTTGACCAGCCAGTGACGCTAATGGTAGTTAAATGTTTACGTAATTCCAAGTGGCTGCAGATTCCGTGTTTACCCTCACACGTATACAAGTTCAGAAAACGGAGAAACATAATAAACATTATAGACAAATTAGTTTGGAGTTGTACACAGGATGGGGCAAAAGTGGCTATACGGTTGTTTTATTTAGAACATAGTTTAATTTCTAGAGTCTTATTCTGAAACAAACACTGAAAATTAAATTGGTTTCAGTTGTCTTCGTAATTTTTGACCCACCCTGTATACTTGTTGCTTAGTAAGCGGAGTACGCTTCAAGTGTTATCGCGAAATAAACATGAGAAAAAGCAGCACGTATACTGTAAAAAAGTTTTAAATTGCTTAAGTGGACAATTATTAATTATCATTTGATTTCAGTCACAGTGCGTGTTTCGTCGGTGTGTGTACTATTGTAAAAATTTCCCTTTAATTAAAAAATCAAGGCGTACTGTTCTCCAACTTTTTTATGTTTTGCTTTAGCGCATTTGGCTATCTGCGCTCTGTCCACCATGTGGAATCGAACCCCAGATTTTAGCGTTGTAAGTCCGTCCAACTTTTGTCATGAACGATTAAAATTAGTTAATTTTTCTGTTTCTTTATTAAAACACAACCTTCCCCGTTTTTTTAAAATCTTCCTAGACATTCCTCTGCTTCTTACTTAAATTTCACCCATTTTCAAGTTCCCCCATTAATTCTTGAAGCTCATCCCTTCTCTTTTCTTGTTTTTCTTTCTTTGTTTACTCGAAACCTATTCTAT